ATCTAATAAAAACTATGCAACAGCCGAGAAATAGTAGTGGTGCTTGTTTTATAAAAGGTATAGAGTTTGAACTACATTACATCTGTAGCAACACTGCATTCTCAGCAATTTAATTTGACAATTATTGTCAAGCAAACATTATTAATGTCAAACATTTAATCAATATTTAGGTTTCAGATTGTAGAGTTAAAAGCTTAACAACATTTATGTATTTATACAACTATTTTATTTTTAATAAACAAAAAAAAATTGGTTGTTCAGTTTCAGTAAGGGTGCATGAACAAATATAAAGAAATGCAAATAACTTAGAGCAATATTTAAATGTCATCAAAGCAGTGTGTAAAAAAACATTAAAAAAAAATTACTTGTTGCTGGCTATATATTCTAGAATCCATTTCTTCATTATATACAAATGACAATCTACCAAGTTTGTTAACAGTTTTATATTAGAATACCTGAACAAAATTATTTTAAATTTTATAAGAACAAAGTATTGTTGCCAGGTGGTAAATAATATCTAACATTATTTTAAAAATACTCACTGAAAGCCAACAATAACTGCAATAAAGCACATAGTAAAGTTACTTATTTTTTCTACCCTTAGAAAAACTTTTAGATAAAATTTATACCAGGCATTTAAAATGTCAATATTAAATAAAGACAAAGGACTTTCTCAATCTTAATTGTTAATAACAAGTAAAACAATTAAAAAAAAACCTACAAAAAAAAACAAAAAAACAAACAACAAATAAGCAAAAACGAAAACACTAAGACAACAATTATAACATTATAAACTTATGTGATTGTATAAATTCTCTCGTAAATGCTAAAATCAACCAACTAATAAACTAAACTAATTAGTAAATAAAATAAAGAGTACTGAATAGAAGATACTAAGAAACAAAATTTTCAATTTGTTTATTATTAGGAAAAAGTAATAATATAATAACCTCTTCATCATTGATTTTTTAAAAACTATATTATCGGACTCAATGTCTCCTTCATTTGCAAAGTATAAAAGTCGGTTTTCTTGTGTGTCAATAGATACAACATCTTTATTACCTAACAATGTATTTACAGTGTAAAAACAATAGCCTATTGAATTATACTCAATCTAAAAGCTAGATATTGAAAAATTTAATAATAAAATATCCAAATTTTTAATCACAGTAACTACCTATGTGGGATGCGCTTTTATGTTGATTGGCAGCAGTTACATCTTTTTCTAGTTGAAGTTCAACTGGTTTTGATAACATTACTGTAATGCTTGCATCATATATTCTGTGAATATCAACAAGTCTATGAACAGGTGCTTCAGATATCAGGTCACAACTAGCAACTAGTATATCACTCTAAAACAAAATATACTTTAAATATTAGAAGATAACACAAGAAAAAACAAATAAAAAAAATAAGTTTATTATAATTTTTTATTTCGTTATAACTTTCTTTCTAAAAATAATCTTGTTTTAGATTTTTTTTATTTCATTATAATTTTTTTTTTCTAAAAATAATCTTAGTTTTATGCTTAATTATCATTATTTCATAATTAATGCAAAAGTGGTGTGGTGTAGGGTGCTTGTTTTTTTTTTAAGCAAGAGGTATAAAGTTCAAACCTACCATATTCCTGGAAGTACCATGCTAGAATTGTTTCTTTATGTTTTGTTTGTTAAGGATTATGTTTTAAAGTTGTAGAGACAAGAGAAGCATATAACAGCAATTTAGAAAAAAAATAAGTTGAATAGGGGCACATTATAGCCAAAGGAGTAACTCCATTGACTATAATGCCCCAAATATTCGAATCAATCAAGAATATTTAGTAGCTTCATTAGTAAATAAAGCTATACAAGTAAATATATAGTAAACAAAAAAGAAAAAATCAGGATTTCTGCAATCCTGTCCTTTACCTTTTTTTTAACTGTCTTCCAGTACAACTATTTTTTAACCGGGAGTCTCAAATACCCCTATTTACTACATACACAACTACAAGTCAAAAATTATAGAATTCTAAGGCTTTAAGTCCCTGAACTTTCCGAATAAAAAATCAATACTTGAGTCTAAACTTTGAAGCTTTTTTTAGGACTTTCTTTCTTGCAGACTGTAAAATTTAACAAAAATTGATTTAACCATTCTTTTTTAATAAATGTAATAAAATTTTTATTTTTTAAAAAAATATTCTAAAGTAATAAATAATGTTGTAATGTAATGCAAAGACTTTAATTGTCAAACATTTGGCTTAGGCGTTTACTTGAGCAATTTGATGAGAAATCAGGTTTAAATCCTTTGACCATTCTTTTATGTGCTTCCACTTAGCACCTCTTAACTGTATCACTTTTCTCTTTGTTCTTTATTGTTCTCCTTTTCCTCAAGACTGCACTCTTTTTGATGAAATTTCTGATCGAAATGACCATACCATTTCTCTTTACCCCCATTGCTAATATTTTTGTTATTGGAGACTTTAATGCTCATCACACTGAATGGTTTGGCTCTAATACCATTGACCCTGCTGGCATTAAAACTCACAACTTCTGCATTTCTCATTTTCTTACTCAGATTTGTTACTTGTTTTACAGACATCCATTATTACTTATCTTTATTCTTTGATTTGCGTCTTGTCTCTGAGCCTAGCTTGTGTTCAGTTTCTTCTTTTTCTCCTTAAGGTGGTTTCAACCATGCAATGATATCTATAAATCTTACATCTCATACTTCTTCGAACTAACCATATCATTGCACTACCCTAAAGCTGACTGGGATTCTTTTCATGATTTTCTTTGTGATGGTCCTTAGGCTGATGTCTTTTCTCCATCCGCTAATAAATGTGCCTCCTACATAACCTCCTGGATCCAGGCAGGATTAGAAGCTTTTATTCCTTCTTGTTGGTTTCAAGTCAAGTCTCATTCTACTCAATGGTTTTCACCTTCTTGTTCAGCTGCTATATCTAATTGTAATAATTTTTTTCATTTTTTTCAAAAGAACAACTCTCTTGTGAACAAACGCATACGTATTACTGCAAGAAATCAATACAAAAAGGAGTTCTCTGATGCTAAACTCCATTATTCCTACTTCACTCTCGTATCTTATCTCAGAAGTTAGCTCTAGAGACTTAAAAAATCTTCAACGGCATCTTTAACAAAGGTAGGTTTAACATTGGTATATCTAAAGCTTTTGATAAAGCTTGGCATGCTGGTCTTTTTCATAAGCTTGGTTATACTTTGAGATTATCAAATCGTTTCTTTCTAACCACTTTATTAAAGTCATCTTCAAAGAGATCTTTCAATAATCTTCAAATTAGGATTACAATTTCAGTTGTGAAGTGGAGAGATTTACAATCTGGGGAGATTTATGGCAATAATCCCAAGCATTACCTGCCTCATCAGTTGCAGTTAAGCGCAGCAATAAAGAATATGCACTGCAAAAAATAAAGAAGTGTAAAAAACTGTCAAATGCTCTAAGCGCATATTTAATAAACTGGGGTGGGTGAGAAAATTTCCAATTATTAATAAAAGTTCTCTTCCTTCTATTAAGCACCTAAGAGTAATACAGTTATAAATATATACTTCGTGAAATGTAAATTTGTTTAATCTATGCAATTCCAGATTAAGTCTTTTTTGCATAAAAATTACTTAGAATAGAGTGTTTAACCGACAGAATAAATATTTAAAACTAAAACCTTTTTTAAAAAAAAAATGAAATAAAGGCACTTGGTATTTTGGCCTATTAAAATGGTCTATTAAATTGGTCTATTGAAAATCATGTTTTAACAATAAGAGATTCTTTGATGAAACATCTTCTAAAAATTAAGTTAATATCAGATTCTCAGCATGGATTTATTTTGAATAAAAACTTTTGTATAAATTCATAGTCTTAAAGTTAAATTGCACAGTCTTTCGAAAGTGGTTTTTTAATAGATATAGCTTTTTTGGACTTCACCAAAGTAGCAAGTAATAGCACACAAAAAATTGTTATTAAAAATAAAAGCATTTTGTGAAAATGAAGTTTTATAGTGCTGGTTTAAAGCATATTTGAGCAACAGAACTCAAAGGGTTGTTATCAACAGAACTCAAAGGGTTGTTATCAATACTTATAAATCAGAATGGAAGAAATAATCAAGTGGAGTGCCACAAGGCTCAGTGTTGGGGCATATATATTGATGATATATCACAAGAAATAAAAAACAAAAACTACGCTGATAATTCAAAAATTATTCCGGTGATTTCAAATATCAAATTCAACAATGTGTTACAAGAGGATTTAATTAACCTTAGTACTCTCGAGTCTTTAATACACAGGGGATGGGGGAATACTTTCTAGTTCCATTAACCTAAACACATATTTGCTTGACTCATCATTCAGCAAAGTCTCACCCTTTTATTGTATCTGTCCCTGCATCCTCTAAAAACTTTTATTTGCCTAGTTATATAACCGCACTTCATCACTTTAAAATTCTCTCCCATCTTCTTGTTTTCCTGACAACCTACAACTTTAAAAGTCTTCCTCAACCATTTCCTTGTTCGTTAACTCTATTCTTTTTTTTTCTAGTAACTCCCAACTTAACAGCTTTTAGCCTATTTGGGAGTGAATCAGAATAAAAAAAAATATATAATAATTCAGATTCTAATTTCTTATTAAATGAAATAATTGTTTTATTTTGCCAGCCTCTATTTTATGATTTTATTTTATTTATACTTATTTTATTAAATTGTAGTAATAGAAATGAGTCTCAAAAAATGTCCCAGAAGAATTAAAAGTTTTTTTAATATACCAGCCATAATAAAAAATCAGGGATACGAAACAAGAGAGCTGAGTATGGAAAGGCAATGACTGTGGAAAACTGCAGTAAATAGGAAAGATATACAGACCGAAGAAGTTTGGAACAAAACTATAATCTATTTAAAACATTTCGTAGATGATATGTATAAATCCCATATCTGATAAAAGTGTTATAATCTATAGTGTATATCTACTATAGTATACTTATATGCGCAATTGCTCACTTTTTTTGCTAGCCTAAATTGAGTGAGCGTTTTTAGAAAATGATGAGGGAAAACAAAGAATTTATGAATGAAAAGGTTGCTGACCCATACCAAACCCTCAGTCGATGTAGCAGCACTCCACTGCGAGTCAGGCTATTTGTCAGTCGATGTATGTACTGAAGCCCCCGGCAGGCTATTTGACATTAGGTGAGTATGACATCATCACGCTCACCTAACTCAGCAGTATAATATATATATATATATATATATATATATATATATATATATATATATATATATATATATATATATATATATATATATATATATATATATATATATATATATATATATATATATATATATATAATATATATATATATATATATATATATATATATATATATATATATATATATATATATATATATATATATATATATATATATATATATTATATACACATATACACAAACATACATAAATACACATATATATTTTGCCTGGAATAATTTTTTAGCAGTTGTTTGGAAGCAGTATTACAATTACTTTTGATTACAATTACTTTACTTTGGCTAAGATAAATAAAAATATTTTAATAGCATCTTCAGGGGTGTGGTGGCCCCAGAGGCCATGCAGGATTCTTGTATGGGCTTTTCATTTTTTATTAAATTTTTAGCACTTTTTAATCCTTTTATGGGCCAATTATCAATTTTTATTTCTTTTGACATTCTGAAAAAAATCTATATTTAAAATAAAAACAATTAAATAGCATTTTCAGAAAAATATGACATACTTTATAATAAAGTAACTGCTAATTAAAATTACAATATAAAAACTTTTTATATTTGAGGATGAGCCCTGTGGTGCGTTTATGCTTTGCAAAAATGCAAGTTAAAATGCAGAAATAAACAAAAGCGTAAACTATCTATAAAAACAATTTCTTTTTTTTTCAAGAAAAAAATTTTTTTAATATATAATTTAATATAATTTATATTATAATAAAATAAATAACATTACATAATGAAATTAAAATATTTGATTTTTAATTTGGTGTTTTTTGCTATTCTTCAAACAATAAAATATTAAATCGATTTATCAAAACAAAAACGTTGTCACTGCAGCGCAGTGTTACCATTTTTAGTTTTGAAGTATTACAAACCTCAACTTGTTGGTTTGTATTATAAACTTCAAATTATTGGTGTGTATTGACAATACACACCAATTCTTGTAGTCACAAGAAACATATTCTTATGACTATAATCAAATGTCATTCCTAACCTTAAAATATTGTTTTTTTAACTTGACTTTAACATTCCTAACCTTAAAATATTGTTTTTTTAATCTTTTTTTAACTTAACCACGGCAGTTTGTTTTGA